GCCTTGGAGTTTGCATGCTAAAACTGTGTATTGCCAGCACGCCTTGTAAAAATTTCGTGTGCAATGCTGTGCAATAGAATTTTAGAAATGATTGTAGCAGATTGTTAATTTAAAACAATTCGCGTTTTTTAATTATTTGAATGCCTGTTATCAATCGATTATGAAGTCTCATTGATTTCTGCTTTCTTGTCTTTTCACTTCAGCTTGGCGATGTTTACTTAGTGGATAGCTGTCAATTTATATTTTCTTGAAGTTTTACAAGAGCGTTTTGTATTTAACAATAACATGTACCTGATTACAGGAGAAATTAATTTTTTCAGGATTGCAGAAAAGATATATGGAATTCGATATTTCAAGGTAGAGTTGGTGAGAACCTGATAAGCATATATTGGAGAAATATATAAACCTCAGTTGGAGTAATGTATCAGTGAAGAAATCATTGTTCTTCACAATATTTTTTAACAACAAAAGTAATAGTTTATTTATCTAATTTGTGTATTCTATTATCATTTACTTAATTTTATCCATATAATTGTAAACTCTCTTGTTGTATATAAAATATCATTTCTTAATCACTTTCAAATTAAGGAATTTAATATGAAATAGTACATCCAAATTATTGAAAATTCTCATAAGATATTTAAAGAACACAAAAAAAAAAACTACTCATAAGAATAGGTGCTTTCAAAACGTTTCTATCACATTCATCAAGATTGTGTTTTTAATAGTCTGCTTTACCATTTATGAAAATTTTTGTAATGATCCTAAAATCACTAATTTAACTCAATAATGTGATTATTTGTTTATATGATGTAAATGTGACCCAATAAAAAAAGAAAAAAAAAGAATTGATGTGAAAATAAATTGATCTTTTTTTAACGTATTATTTGTTGATCCCTGTATTACATTGCAATTGTTATTGCAATTGCAATTTTTACCGTAATTAATTAAAATATATGTCCGTAGGAAAGCCAAACAAATCTTAAATCATGTCATCAAACTTTGCCTAAATTTTTTTGGATTTGTCTCAGGACTTGAAATAGAATAATATTTATTGACGAATCACAATAAAAGTGTGAAAAATGTTTCAATTCTCTCTTGTATACAGATTCTCTCTAGAATACATCTTTATTTTGGTCGTTTAAACAAAACTGAGCTTTAATTTTGATCAAAAAATTCATTGCAAATTAAAGCTTCTTGCTATGATATCTTTCTTACTTCCGAAAAATCTCTGTATACTTAATATAGAAACCATTATATTAAAAACGTTTCTAATAAAATAATAAAAAGAGAAATTTTTAAATTTCTGAAGCAAACATATTTGTACCATGAGCTACCTTATGCTTTCTTCATTGCTTTTAACCTCATCTTCATGATTATTTGTTAAGGATTAAAATTTTTTCTCTTTCATGCAGGAGAATAAACTAATGCCATTTTTTCCACCAATATAATATATTTTTAAAGTAAAATTTAATGGAGATTTGTAGAAATTAATGTGTAAATGAAACATTTTACAATTTATTATCAATATCTCTTTATTCTTTACAATAATGAATCTTCTATGTCTAGTGAACATATATTCAGACCCACAATTACTGTAAGAAAATAGGCTGAGTTGTGGATTAATTATGAAGTTTCTGAAGTCAACAGTCGAAGTATTGGCAGGACATGAAGAACACAGGATGTGAATTGAGAACATGGCAAGAAAAGCGGAGACAGAGTGGATTAGGCAATTAAAACTGTGTGTTTGAGAAATTAATAATGGATGCATGCATCATATTCTTTGATATAAAAAGATATCATTACAATGGAAAACAATAATCAAAGAAAATACAATGCGTGGAATTGTATTGCTCAAATATTCTTTTGGTAAGAAAAGAAACAATATTTACATTTGACACTCCTAATAATGAAACTTGAATATAAAAATAAAAATTGAAATATCCTTTCTCAAGTTCTATCCCTCTTACATACAATAATATTTATTGTGCATATCTGACATGGAAACCACAACATGAAGAGTGCTTTTTCATCACTTACTAGGGCTGAAATTGGTCTTCATTTCACGGACCCTATTAATATTCGTTTGTTACCATTATTAATTGATCATACAGAGAAAAACAAAACTGTATATTTCCTCATAAATAATAATACAATTGCACAACATAAAAAAAATCCATTCAAGTCCATTATCACCATAAAGAATTAATACTCAGCCTTAAAAAGCTTAAATCTGCACATTTATCCATTAACTTCTACCAGATGCAAATATACACCCAAGCTAAAACCTCCTGATATAGATATAACTTAGCAGTGTAGTGAAATAAGGACTGCTTAAATACACAAATTGAAAAAAAATGTTTCCTGTTTTATATCCCAGGAAGATTCCCAACATATTAAATAAGTTATTATGTAATTTCTTAATTAGTACTATTAAATTCATTTAACTACTGCATTTATATTCTCTTAGTTTTATAAAAAAAACAAGCATGCTATGAATGTAACACACAAAAACTCTTACGCAAAACCTCAAGATTCTGTTCAATCTCTCATGTAACTGTATCAAATGCCAATTTGTAACTGTCTATGCAGAGATTATCCTGAAAGTAAGATTTTGCATGAAAGATTCATCTGCCATCATTACAAGATAATGTTACCGCTAATTAGATATTGCTCATACCACTTCAATTTGTTCACGTGTTAATTTATAATTTTAAAACTCAATTTGTTCTGAGACATTTAAACATGATGATTTTAAAGAATTTAATTTAGATGTGCTCTTGCAAATAAATATTCTTTGACTTGTGATTTTCATTAAAAATACCAAAAATAACATCATTTAGAACTGAAGAAAGAATATTAATCTTTTGCAAATTAACATTTCTTTCTTTATAGAGAGCAGTTATACAATTAGTCTTTTGTAATCGATTTAAAAATTTTTAAGCAATTTAGCTGCTTTATTACCTTTACCAGTTTAAAAGTATTCTCTTGAGATGAAAAACACAATTCATTTTACATGATTCTAAACCAATTATTTACACTTCCCTTCAAATATGTTAGGAGGATTTATGTCAGTTACAAGATAAATAAAATATACTTTGAGATAAAATTATTTAGTTAATTCTAAGATGCCCAGAAATTTTATCAACTTTGCACTTAAGAAAGAATAAGTAAATTTGCTTCCATCCTGTGAAATATAAAAAAGTACAATATTTCAAGAGAGCCATGAATCCACTTTTAAGGTTTACAAAAACCACGGTATTCTCTGAGAACATTACGTTAATAGTTATCCTGTCCCACTTTTCAAAGCAATATGGTGTAAAGCCTTCCATGCCTTAATTATTATTTTGAAATATATAATGGCTGTATGCATGGTGTCTAGTGTATGGAGCAGATTATGTGTGAATAGGTGAAGTAAGTGTTTTGGT